TTAAGCGACTGCCTTCGGCTCAGGTCATGATCCCGGAGTCCTGGGATCGAGTCCCACATCGGGCTCCCTGCTCAGCAGGGAGTCTGCTTCTCCCTCTGACCCTCTTCCCTCTCGTGCTCTCTATCTCTCATTCTCTCTCTCTCAAATAAATAAATAAAATCTTAAAAAAAAAAAAAAAGTACATCAGAAACCATCACCGCCCAGCCCTTAAGGGAGGATGGCAAATCCTGTTGACACACACGGTTACTGTTTTGTCTTACATTTTATATGATACATTTGTTAGGTCAAGAAAATTCGGAATTATTGTAATCTAAACTTGATTCCTCACCTGTAAAATAGGGTTGGACCAGAATACATCTTAAATCCCCAGTGTAATGGTGCCTCTTTACTTGGATGCGTTTGGTGAGAGGAGTCTGTTTTATTATCCCGTTTTTTCTCCCATCTTCACGCTGTGGCCACTACTTGGAAGGAATACTTGGAACAATAACAAAGGCTTTCCTGACTCAAACTTTCATAGCCTGAAACTCCTTTCCTAGTCACTGCCCGTATGCTTACAATTTATCAAAATTTGTAGGATGGGTGAAAGCAGTGCTTAGAGGGAAATTTATAGCAGTGATTGCATGTATTAGAAAAGAAAGATCTAAAATCAATCATCTAAGTTTCCATCATAGGAAACCAGACAAAGAAGAGCAAATTAAATCCAAGTGGAAGAAAATAATTTAGAGCTGTATCAATGAAATTGAAAATAAGAAATAAGCAGAGAAAACTAAAAGCTGGTTCTTTGAAAAGATCAATAAAATCAATAAGCAGCTAAGCCAGGCTAAGTAAGGAAAAAAGAGAAAAGGCACAAATTACTAATGTCAGATATGAAATAGGGGACAGCACTACGGTTCCCATGAACATTAAAAGGATAATAAAGAGATATTATGAACAACTCTGCCCCTATATTTGATAACCTAGATGAAATGGACCAATTCCTTGAAAGACACAATCTGCCAAAACTCACATAAAAAGTAGACAATCTGAATAAGCCTAGGTCTATTAAAGAAATTGAATCAATAATAACCTACCAAAACAGAAAACAATAGGCCCACATGGGTGCACTGGTAAATTCTAACACACTTTTAAGGGACAGATATCATTTTTCTACAATCTCTTTTATAAGATAGAAGCAGAATAGGGGCGCCTGGGTGGCTCAGTCGTTGGGCGTCTGCCTTCGGCTCAGGTCATGATTCCGGGATCCTGGAATCGAGTCCCCTGCCGGGCTCCCTTCTCCACGGGAAGCCTGCTTCTCCCTCTCCCACTCCCCCTGCTTGGGTTCCCTCTCTCGCTGTGTCTCTCTCTGTCAAATAAATAAAATCTTAAAAAAAAAAAAAAAAAGATAGAAGCAGAATACATTCCTAACTCATTCTGAGACCAGCATTACCCGCCTGAGTGCCACGGGGGGCTCCTCCTAGAACAGTGTGCAGCCGGGACCCGCCTCCCTCCCCCGCAGAGGTGGGGGCGGGGGCAAGAAGTGTGACTTCCCATAGCATGTGTGTCTTGCGTCCCGAAGGCGGTTTTGCTTCGGAAACCCGCTCCTTCCCAGGCCGAGGCGCGTCATCGCTCACCAGGGCTCCCAGGCGCCTGGAGCCGCGGCGGCCTCGCCTCCTCTCGGCCCCAGAGTGACTGGTGCAGCCCACGGCCCCTCCCCAAGGAACAGAGCAGAGGATGCAGCGAAGAGACTGGCCCTCGTACCCCAGCTACCCCGCCGTAGCGTTAAGGGCCCCCCTCGCTCGCGAGCCGCGCCCGCATCAGCAGCATCCATCCTGTCCGACATAACCGCGCCATGGAGACAACTATAGCACAATTGTTGTAACAATACTTGTCCATAGATTGGCTTGCTCCTTTCTGTAATGAGGAGATTCGATATTTTAAGGGGCTGTACAGAGTATTACTGTAGCTAATGCTAATGGTTAACCTTATGGAATTAATTCATATTTTTCTATGGTTTTTACCTGACACTGTCTCCGGTCATGGGGTTGTTGTGCTGTGCTTGCTTGCTTTCTTGCTTTCCTCCTTTCTCTCTTCTTTCTTTCCTTTTTTTTTTTTTTTCTGGCTTTGTTTTGCTTTGTGTTCTTCCGTCAATGTGTAGGCTTTGCACTCGTTTGGATAAAGAAACAGATCAGAAATAACTAACTGCTCTCTCCTCAAGATTGTCTTGAGACTTTGTGGAGAAATTTCAAAAAACTGAGGGGGGGAAAAGACATCCAATACCATTCACTAAAAAAAAAGTCATCAATAAAACTTCTTCCCCCCCCCCAAAAAAACAACAAAGACATCACAAGAAAAGAAAATGACAGGCCAATATTGGCCAATATTGAACACAGATGCAAAAATCCTCACCAAAATATTGGTAAATCAAATTCAAAAAATTGAAAAAGAACTATACACCATGATCAAGTAAGACTTACCCCACTTTGTAAGGCTGTTCAAAATTCAATAAGCTAAAGAAAAATCAAATGATATCAATAGAAGCAGAAAAAATATTTAACACCTATTCAGGATACAAACTCTTAGCAAGGGGTAGCTGAGTGGTTCAGTCGGTTGGGCGTCTGACTCTCGGTTTCAGCTCGGGTCATGGGTTCCATGTTCTGTGTGGAGTTTGCTTGTCCCTCTCCCTCTACTCCACCCCCACTCATGCTCTCCTCTCTCTCTCAAATAAATAAAAACAAAATCTTTAAAATAAATCTCAGCAAACTAGGAATAGAGAGGAACTTCCTCAACTTGATAAAGAACATCTACAAAAACCTACAGTTCACATCATACTTAGTGGTGAGAAACTCAAAGCGTTCCTAGTAAGATCAGGAACAAGGAAAGGATGTCTTCTCTCACAGCTACTTTCCAACATCATACTGGATTGTCCTCACTAGTAATTATCTATGTACAAAATCCTAAAAAAATTATTCTGGTACATCCAAACAATGGAATATTATTCAGTGCTGTTTTCAAGCCCTGAAAACATACAAACTTAAATGCTTATTGCTACTGAAATACACCAGCTTGGAAAGGCTACATACTGTATGATTCTAACTATATGACATATGGAAAAGGCAAAACTGTGGAGTAAAAAGATCAGTAGCTGCCAGGGGTTAGTGGGGAGGGAGAAATGAATGAACAGAGCAAAGAGGACTTTTAGGGCAGTGAAATGATTTTATATGCTACTATAATGGTAGATACATGTTGTTACACATCTGTTTAAACCCATTGAATATATACCACCAAGAGTGAACGCTAATGTAAACTTTGGACTTCGGGTGTGTCTTAGCTTGGCTGCTATAACAAAATACCACAGCCTGGATGGTTTGAACAACAGACATTTATTTCTCCCAGTTCTAGAGACTGGGAAGTCCAAGATCAAGGTGCTGGCAGATTTGATTCTGGGTGGGGGCTGGCTTTCCCATGGCTGCCTTCCCATTGCATCCTCACCTGGCAGGGAGCCAGCGAGTGAGCTCTGGTCTCTGCCTCTTCTTAGGACAATAATCCCATCATGGGCTCATCACCTCATGACCTCACAAACCTAATCCCCACCTCCCGAAAACCCCACCTCCAAATACTACTACTTTGAGGATCAGAGTTTCAATATATGAATTTGGGGGGAACACAAACATTCAGTCTGTAACAGGGTGATAGAAAATGTTCTTGCTGTTCCACATGCTGGACTGTGTGATAACCTCATCAAACTGGAAATTCCAATATAATCACATTAATCTGGGCGCACACACACACACACACACACACAAGGTGGGCAGGGAGCATTATATGTTTCTTAAAATTGCTTCTTTTCTTTTGAAATGCTCTGATGTCAACAAATTTTAACTTGTCAGATAGTATATACTATCCTGAAAATTATTCTTCTTAGTTTGTATTATTTCTCTCACACACACATACAATATAAATAAAGCATTACTTTGTGCCTAGACAGAAGGCACGAAGTTCTAAAGAATACTTTTACGCTTCTATTCAAAGGCTAATCATTTTAAAGGTGTGTGTGCAAAGATACTATTTGGAAAAAATGTATGTGTTATTGAGTATATCATACTAAAGATGATAATACACAAAAGAATTCTTTCTGACAACGGGAAGAATATCCTGAGAATATCCATAATATATATGGCCGGAAATCTTCCTTGAGAACCAGATTGGAAACCTATTCTGTGAACCATCTGGAAAAAAGACTATCAACCCCTGTAGAGTCGTTTTTCAAACAGGGAGCCTGTGAGCGGAGCTCAGAGCAGAAGTTACAAGGTGTGGCTGTCTTGGGCTCCTTCACGCTGAGCTCAGCAGCACAAAAGTGGACAGTAAACCATCAGCTGGTGAGAAGTGAGGAATTAATACTGCTAAAACGGGCTTTGCAGGCTCCGAGAATTTCTACTACCAGCAGAGAAGCCAAGTCTGGTTTAAGCGAACTTTTGGAGCTTGAAGGTAAAGATCAGAATTTCCTGCCCCTCCTACTATGGGGCTCCTACGTCAGGACCTACAAGTTCTTGAAGCAGCACAGTATATTAAGTCAAAAGTTTTGTGTGCCACAGATAATAGATTTCTGTTGAAGCCTAAATGATAATGTATTTTGAGGGGGCTAATCCAACTTCTAACATTCTAAGTAAACCATTTCAAACCAGAAGTGCTTTTCTAAGAGGCTACAGAAGGCATCTGCATAATCTAGAATTTAAATTCACACGATCCACATTTTAAAAGATGTTCATTCCATTCACTGTCATCTATCACTGTCCAAAACGTTTTGATATTTTTCCCCTTAAAAATGCTGATAACAGAAGTTCATGTAATAATTACTTCTATGATGTACATTACCTGTGAGATTCATTTTCTAAATCTGTTATTCAGCCTAAAAATAGTAAAAAAAAAAAAAAAGAAAGAAAAGAAAACTTACACTGAAATATTGTTTGCACAATCAACTCTAATGACTGGTTCACACTAACAAAACTAAGAAAATAGTAAATCTATATAGTTCGTATAATAAAATGTAAGCACAAAGTATTTCCATACATAAATAGAAGCTTTACACATCTAAAATACAGTATATGTATATATAAAATATATCTGTAAAATTTAATGAGCTACTATAATTATTATAAATTACATGTCTATTTCAATATAGAAATCTATTCTCTCTAACATTTTAAATTTTAGAGATAGCTTGAATGGTGATATTATGGAGAATAATTTCATATACTGAGCTTTTTAATAATTCATTGTTATTAGTAATTCAATGGAAGGGTATAACCGATAATATGAGTAATTTTTTAATTATGGCAAAAGTACCAGTTTAAGGAATATAAAGATAAATACAGCGTGCCGTTTCTGTAGGGCAGTTAATACTGACAATCAGTGGGAAGAGAACATACTTCCAATATCGTGGGTCTTGAGGACCAGCTCTGTAGAGTGGTGTGGGCCGAAGAACAGGGTTTCTATACAGGTAAATTACTAGGTTACCATCCCATTTCATTACTTACAAAAACTACTTTAGGAGCATTCTTCCAAGGCAAAAATATATTTTAATGTGTCTGAAAAGTTAATACATCTACTGCTTCTCAATATTTCAAAGTCTGTATGGTTAAGTAAACCTCCACTTTAGACACTTTAAAACATGGTCTTTATAAATTTGGACAAACTAACAACTTAGGGGTAATGGAAAGACAATTGAAGACATTTATTCCGCTACTCAAATAAAGGTGAGGAAAAGTTATGATGATGCTTAATGAGAGACTTTGCTAGGTAAGCACTGAAGGGCAGGAGGCCAGTACTAAACACATACCAGTGTTTGCCCATTTTATCATTTTGCCCAGCTGGATCAGTTATTCAAGGAGAAGTTTTTAAATAACTGGGTTATTTAATGAGAAGCTGTAGATAATTTCAAAGTGGCTTGAGAAAATCCATTCTTTCCGAAAGTTGATGTATAGTGTTTTTATCTATTATTATGTTGGGGGATTTCTACAGTCCTTGGGTTAATCTCTCAGTCTCCTGAAATTCATATAAACTTCCCAGTAAAGAGTGTACAGTGAGTTAAAAATATCTTACAATTGTACTTACTTTCAGAAAGTATATTTCTTCCTGCAGCTTACTAGGAAATTAGTTTACAAATATAAATTAATCTTCCGTTAACATCTTATTCCCATATATTCCATGACATATAATCACTTTAACATAGCATTTTTGTTTCAAATTTTATCTTCTAAATAAAGCCTCCAATTTGGGGAGGGGGAATACACAGTATGATTAAAATGTTTACACATATTAAATATATAGAGTATATAACAATTTAATTGCTAGTGATCCACTGATACTTATTTTCTGTTTCTTCTTTTTGGGCTCTTTGTTCTTCTCGGTGATTAGCTGCAGTCCAAAATGTTATTTTTTTGAGTACTTGTTGCAGAAGTTTAGGAGGTAATAAAGATATCTGACTTTCTAAAATTATGGCATTTTTGCCAATACAGTCAAGGCATGACCTGTAAATAAAACATAACAGAATTATCAGTTTTTGAACCTTAAGTTATAAAATATTTATACATGTAAGTATTCTTCATAAAAATCATTATAAAATTTTTACATGATAATGTATTTCCTCTGTAGTGTTTGGAACATGATAGGATATATGTTCTTCCCAGAGCACCACAGTAATTACATATCTTTATAGCATAGAGGCCATATCTGGCCAAAATCCAATGGAAACAGCAATCACAACTTACCATGCACCACGCATAATGTTATTTAAGCAGAAAAGATTCAGACTTAATTTCAAAGCAGGTTAGTCTATAGCAGATCGTTTTTCATTTATCCTTCCAGTCCACTAACCACTTAATCTTCTCTGAGAACTATCTTTTTCTTCCATCACCCCAAGATGAAGTATCTAACATCCATTTTTATGCCACAGGACCCATCCTCCCCACGCGGGCGCCGTAACTCACTGCACTGGCACACCTGACTTACACCAACCCAGAGAGCAGGTCTGGGGAGACCAATGAGTGGAACAGCAATATAGAAAGAGCCCATGAGAGACCACCTGAGGTCTTTCCCTTCCGGGGCCCTCATGTTCACTCTGTCCCCTTTGGTTCTCCTAGAGAGTGTGTCCGTCCAAATACAGTTCCCTCCTAATCTGAAGCTACGTTGAAGAGGATTTTGTATTTTAAAACCAAAGAAACTTGATTGAGAACTATCAAGAAGAGTCTATTTCAACAGATAAACTTTAAATCAAAAAGGTAAGTAAATCTTTTTAAAAAGTTTTAAAGATAGATTCATTTGATTCTGCTGTAGTTAACCTCGGCTGGCACTTTATAAGGACTTACACTCTAGATATTTATATCTTCTTCTATGCTTTCATGAAGCCTTTTCTCTCTACTCTGTGAAAACTCTAAGTAAGGAGAGTGAAAATGTTCTACACAGATACAGGAGAAGCACAAGCAAACAACATGAATCTTATGCCTGAGGTAAACTTAACTCTGCTGCTCTGGTAACACAAGAGCTCCTGAACCCAGTCCTCGTCCATGACGGGGGGTGGGGGGGGGAGAGTCAGATAAGGAGATGGACTCCATCATTATTATTCATTCACTGATTCAACAAATATTTATTTGCGTGCACTACTTAGGAGGAGGAAACCCAATTTTGAGAAAATCCCCATTTCAACTTTTAAAAAATAGATTTGAGAGAGAGAGAGAGCGAGCATGAGGGGGGTGGTGGGGGAAAGAGCAGAGAGAGAGAGAGAGGGAGAAACAGGTTCCCTGCTGAGCTGGGAGCCCTGGGGGGGAGCAGGCTTGATCCCAGGACCCTGGGATCATGACCTGAGTGGAAGGCAGACGCTTAACCAACTGAGCCACCCAGGCGCCCCCCACTATTTCAACTTTCAAGGAGGTTACAATTTAGTGAAGATAAATAATGCTGTGACTGAGATAACAGAAAATTTCCATGACAGGTACAGGGTTCTAGGGGACTCAGAGAGGAAGAATAACCAAGACAACTGCAGCAAGGGAAACTTCCAGATGGGATGTCCAAGCTGAGACCTTGAGGGTTCAACAAATTAAATAAAAGTATTCCATGATAGAGGAACCACTACTGCAAAGCCCTAGAAATGAGAAATTAAAATTTATTACAGAAACTGCAACTGAGAGGTTCAAATATAGTTCTGGCAGAATGTGGGGGGTGAGGGGACATGGTGAGGAATCTGCAGTTTGTCTAAGGGCAGTGGGAGCCACTGACTCATCACAGTATAAAATGTGCATATGCCCTGATCCACCAACATCCCTTCTAGGAATTTCCTCCTGAGAAGATATGCAAGCTTTCCAAAAGCATATACAAGAATATTATACATGTGATTTTTTATAATGGCCCCAAATTTTAGATATCCTAAATATATATTAATAGACTAGTAAGTAAATTATACTCCCATGAAATAGAATACTGTATAGTCATTACAAACATAAATATAGATCTATAAATCACTGAATGATTATATGTCTATATGAAATATATCCACAATATGAGTTCCAAAAGCAGATTATAAACAGGATGCATAATCTGACCCTTTACACACACACACACACACCTACGTCTACTGCTCTCGCTAAGGGTCCAATGACCTCTTAGCATGGTTAAATCCACATTTTTCATTTCAGTGTGGGAGGATAAACATCAAACTCTTAACAATGATCATTATAGATGATGGCTCATTTTTTTTACCATATATTTTTCATATTGTATGAATTTTCTTGTTAACTACATCTTATTTTTATCAGAATAAATAATTGAGGTATTTCTTTTTAAAACTATGTATGCAACCAAATGTATGACGAGCATAAGCCCACAAATACATCAGACCATGTAAGTTCTTTGAGATGAGGAACCACATCCTATTCATCTTTTGTTTTTTCCCAGTGTCTCAACACCGGAAGTGCTAATGTCTTCTGACTGAAAATTTAAAATAAAAAGATGGCTCTGGCTACACTGTGGACTGCGGGGTGTGGCCGATATGCCTCACACAGTAATACCACTAAATTCCTGCCAAATTCAAGGTTTAGTTTTATATTCAAGGTTTTTTAAAAAAAATTTTTTTAAAGTGATCTCTACACCCAAGGTGGGGCTCAAACTCACAACCCTGACCTGAAGAGTCGCATGCTCCACCGACTGAGCCAGCCAGGCGCCCCTTTTATATTCAAGTTTCGATGCATGGAATAGGCTCAGCATGAGAACGGGGTGTAGGCACTCAGGGCAGCACAGTGCTAGGGGCCAAGGGTGCCACCAAGGAGCCTGACGGAGGGCCCGGCTCTGTCCCAACCTCAAACACAAGCCCATCCACTCGGTCCGATCGGTTTCCCGCATTTGTCTGCTGGGGCATCTTCCCCATTGCTGTTCAGGTGCCCATCCAAACTCCGTGCTTTCTGGCAGCCCAGGCGGGTCCGCAAACACCTCCGCCCCGCGGCCTTCCCGTCCCCGCTCTAACTGCTCTCTCGCACGCCGCTCTGTGCAGCCTTCTGGAGAGGCCAGCAGCCCGCCCGCGTCTCCGCGAGCCCCGTCTCCGCGAGCCCCGTCCCCGCGAGCCCCGTCCCCGCGAGCCCCGTCCCCCCGCCGCGGCGCTCGCTCCTCCCGCGGCCCCCGGGCGGCGTCACTTCGCCTCGGGGGTCGCCACTGTTAACCGCTCCTTCTCCCCCCGTCCTTGCCGACTTCGTGTGGAAAACCCGTTGTAGTCTTTACAGCCTCACTCAGGACCGCCTCGGAAATCTTCCCCTTCCACGCTCTGCACCTGCCGCACAGCCCTGGGTGCGGTTCATCCGCGCTCGCCCCGGTTCTCCGCACACCACGGTCCCTCCGGCTTTAGCTTCCTTTCCTACCCTGCCCGGTCCGTCCGCACTTCACTCTCTTGCCAGCAACTTTACTCCCCTTCCCCGCCGTGCCTCGGCGACCCCGTCCCGGCTAAAGTCCGGGGGGGGGGGGGCGGGGACAGACACTCGGCACCGTGTCCGTCCCGCGCAGGCCACCGGGCAGCTTCGAGCCGCTGGAGCAGAGCGCGCTTGGGCAGCCGGGCCGTCCCCGTCGGTTCTCTTCCCACCTCCGCCTCCGCCGGGCCCCCGTCCGCGCCTTCGCGAAGCCGCTGCGGCCGCGGTTCCCAGTCTCCCCCTCCCATCCGCAAGTTCGTATCCTCACCTCTTCTTTCTCCCCGACGACCTCACTCACAAGGAAAACCTTGTCAGCGCCCTGTCCCCCACCCTCCAGCCAACAAAGTCCTCTGCCTTCATAGGCCTACTTCCCTCATTATTTTACAGTATTCTTCTCAACAACTAATTCAATTACCTGTTGACTAAAATCCACCTTCTCCAGACCCTGCTCTGACAATTTTTCCTTCATTATCTTGCGTCCGCTTCTCACCATATAAACAAATACAGTCACCTTTCAACAGCGAGAGGGTTAGGGGCACCCAGGCCCCACGCAGTAGAAAATCCACACATAACTTTTGACTCCCCCCGAACTTAATCGCTAATAGCCTACTGTTGACTGGAAATCTTATGGATAACACAGTTAATACACATTTTGTATGTTACATATTATATACTGTATTCTTACAATAAAGTAAACTGGAAAAAAGAAATGTTATTAAGAAAATCCTAGGGAAGGGGCGCCTGGGTGGCTCAGTCGGTTAAGCCTCTGGCTTCGGCTCAGGTCATGATCCCAGGGTCCTGGGATCGAGTCCCACATCTGCTCCCTGCTCAGCAGGGAGCCTGCTTCTCCCTGTCTCCCTCTGGCCTTTCCCACCACTCATTCTCTCTCTCAAATAAATAAATAAAATATTAAAAGAAAGAAAGAAAGAAAATCCTAGGGAAGAGAAAATGCCCTTACAGTGCTGTGCGGATTTATTGGAAAAAAACCTGTATATAAGTGAACCTGTGTGGTTCAGACCCGTGCTGCTCAACCCTTCCTATGGGCCTTGGAGAAATGATCCTTGTGATTTCTGCCAAACACCATGGCACGTTTCAATCCAGATATTCTGTGACCTCTTTACAATAAGTAGTCTCTCCATCTTCGATTCTTTCCTCCCTCCATTTCGCATTCCCATTATCTCCTGGTTCACCTTTCACTTGCCTGTTCATTCTCCTGAGCCGCTTCTCCTCTAACTCCTCAGATGTTATGAGTTCTTAGTGCTCAGCTGTTGGCTTCATCCTTACTCTCAAAACTCTCCTTGGCAGAGCTAACACATGCCCATTTAGACTCCAGTGATTCTTTTTTTTTTTTAAAGATTTTATTTACTTATTTGACAGAGAGAGAGAGCACGTGCACAAGTAGGCAGAGCAGCAGGCAGAGGGAGAAGCAGACTCCCCACTGAGCAGGGAGCCTGATGTGGGGCTCGATCCCAGGACTCTGGGATTGTGACCTGAGCTGAAGGCAGACGCTTAACTGACCAAGCCACCCAGGCACCCATGATTTTTTTTAAAAGTAGGCTCCATGCCCCAACATGGGGCTTGAACTATGACCCTGACATCAAGACCTGAGCTGACATCAAGAGTTGGATGCTTAATCAACTGAGCCACCCAGGAGCCCCTATCCTCCAATGATTCTTTATGTCTAGCCCAGACACCTCTCCATATATTTAACTAGTTAATAAATAGCTCCATTAAAGATACCATGAGTACTTCAAGCTCAAAAGACTCCAAATTCATCTTTCTATGCTATCCCACCTTCAAACTCACTTCCTTCTTCACAGACTCTCTATTATTAACTCTTCCCTCTTCTTTTCCTACCAAGCCCATTCTACCTCCATCCCTTCTCCAGCTCCATGGCCACTTTCAAGGTCAGCCCCACACTTTGTGCTTGATCACTGCAAGACTCTATTACTTTCCTTACACAGTCACATATCCCTCCAATCTCTTATCCACATTGTTCTCAAAGGAGCTTTCTAATTTGTAGTATGATCATCTCATTCTTCTGCTCCAAATTTTTCAATGCTTCTTGATCTCCCACAAGATAATGTAAACTCATCTGCATGAAACACAAAGGCTCTAGATGATATATGGTTTCTGATTTCTTGTTCAACTCCCCACCTCATGCTTGCGTCTAGGAACGCTCAAGAATTCAGTTTCCAAAACATACCATACTTGTATATCTTGTACTAACACCCTTGCACTGCTTGTTTGTAGCAAATTGTCTCAAATTCTTCTTCTTCTGCAACTACTCCTCTACCCTCACCATCTTAACCACATGGGTAGAGGGTCTTCTTTGCCAATAGTCTCATTAACTTTGTATATGCTTCTCCTAAAGCAATTTTATTTTTCTTTTATAGTTGTTGAAAGCCTGCCTTCTATATTACTAGCAATTTAAGGGAAAGAGCATGACTTTTCACTTCATAGCATAGTGCCTTCTCATGGTAGGCACTCAAATACTATATTTTTTGATCCCTGCATATAAGGAACTTGCAATCTACTTAGGGAAACGAGTTATGTTCACAGCAAAAGTTAAGTAACAATACAAGACAGTTTAATCATGACATCAGCAATTTCCAAACTCTGCCTGCACATTAGAATTATGTTGGGGTCTTCCAAAAATTCCTAAGTTCAGGCCACATGCCAGACCAATTAAATCATAACATGTGGGAGTGGAACACAGGCATCAATACTTTTTGAAGTTCCCTATGATATTCTAACATGAAGTAACAGAAGGAACCATTGTAATAACAGAAGGCACAGTTAAGACATTAGGATGGTCCAGTGTGAGCTGGTCCAGTGGTTTTCACTGGTTCAAGTTGTAGAATGTTTGGATGTTACAGACCACTCCTTGACATCTAGCATGTCAGCTTCTCTCTCACATGCCTTCACCCATGTTATTCCCCTTGCATAAAAAAACCACACTTGGGGGGCACCTGGGTGACTCAGTCAGTTAAGTGTCTGCCTTCTGCTCAGGTCATGATCTCGGGGTCCTGGGATCAAGTCCCCGCGTCAGGTTCTCTGCTCAGCGGGGAGTCTGCTTCTCCCTCTCCCTCCTCCTACTCGTGCGCACTCTCTCTCTCTCTCTTTCTCTCTCACTCACTCTCTCTCTCAAATTAATAAATAAAATCTTAAAAAAAAAAACACACACTTGGTCATTGGGCAACTTCTACTTCACTCAGATCCTTCTTCCTGACCCTCACAGGCAGAAACAGGGATTTTTTTCCACAATCTTCCAACTAAACCTTGTATATACTCCTTTTAAAGCAAGAGTGTATGAGCTAAGACACTATAAGTCATGCCACCAATTTAATAACAGCTTTGGTGTTAAAAAAAAAGAAATTCTACTAAATTAAATGCATATATATGTGTGTCTATTATTGGACACACACTGATTTCAGAAAAGTTAAAATATGAAATATTTCAGGCTTAGAGTCAAGGAAATACAGTATGTTTAATATTCCCATATGAACTAAATGCAATTTTATGCACAAAATAAAAATATGATTGTACTGTATATTTTAATTTTTAAAAATCACATTTGTGTATGGTTCACTATTACAAATATGATTATACTTTTAGGAAGATGTAAACATTTTCTTAAATTCAAATCATAAACTACTTGAAAAATTATCACACTTCCCAAAAAGGAAGATGAAAGAAATTATATCTTAATAGCATATACATATCATAGCTTAATAGCATATATATGTATATAGCTATATATATATAATAAATAGCATATATATGCAATATATGTATTTGCTATTAAGATATGATAATTTCTTTCATCTTCCTTTGTATATATGTATATATGTATATAGCATACATATACATAAAATGAATTTACTTACCTGAGTAGTGAATAAGGCTGTGTTTGAAAGATCAATAAATCATTACAGTGGCCCTAATCAACATAAAAAAAGAATTATCAAGGTGTTTAAAAGAATAAAAATGCATTAATAATTTAATATTTTTATTTTGTAAATGTAAAAGAGGTTATGTACAGCAGCAAATAAATCTCTCTCCCTCTAGTTATTCACAAACACACACACACCATACATACACAGACACACACCTGCTAGCCACACAAACTGTGGGTACGTCGCTACCATTTCTCAGTGACCAAGTTTTTACCTAACAACAACCTACACAATTGCAAATTTAAAACTCAGATACATGTTTTTCTCTTAGAACAGTGAGTTCAAAATCAGAAAAGTAGTGATTTTCAAGCTTTTTTGTTTTTAAGCAGTACTTTCCTCTTCCAAATGACTCTTACTTTAGAATCTCTTTATCTTGTCTCTTTTCCAAATGATCCCAGGATGCCCTGGGAATTCTTCATTTGGAAATCTCAGATCCAGAAGATTTTTTGAAGAATGATTCTCTCATCTAAAAGTTAATGTGGAAGAATCAGCAGAAAAATGTCCCTAATCCTTTCAAATAAGTCTTTAAAATTTCATAACTTATGATCATGATTTTAATCAGGATTCCCATTTTAATGATAAACTCTATCCTACCAATTTCTAGTGCCAAGAAAAAGAAGAGAAACCACAAAATTTGCTTTTTAATTAAATGCAAAATCGTGGTTTTAATCTTTTGTTGAAGCACTGAATTCTCAGCCAAAGAAAGTTCTAAAACTTTCAATGTACGTAACGTTTAAATTGGAGGCTTCCAAACTATAAAGTAAACCAAATCCCCTGGAGAGAAGCCAGCTCATTTCAGGTTTCGCCACTTGGCAAGCACAACTCTGGAGATAACTATGTCTGAAAAGACGTCAGGGAGAGAACTGGCCCCAATGTGGCTGGATTCTGGCTGATGCCTCCTGTCCCTGCCAGCTCAGAGTTCTGCTGTTCCCAAACGTCCTCCACAAACCAGAGCAACCAATCCTGAGCTCCTGTCCCATCACAACACAGTAGGAGCGTGGCCACCTTGCTCTGAATTTCCCAAGGTGCAAGGAGTGAAAGAACAATACTCTCCAAATGCTACTCATTTATTTCTTTGACCTTAGTTTTATCAAATTTTAAAACTGGAATGCTTTAATCTTAAATATAAAATGGGTAAAGCAGTGGCAAAAGACACATAAAGTAAAAAGAAAATACACTTTAAAATTTCAAGCTACTTTCCTCTTGATGGGAGAAGCTAGCATTGGTGTTCTAGTTATTAAGTGAGGTAGCAAATTTCATGAGTATTTATTACTATATTTAGTAGTTTACATATGCATTATATATATTCTTATAAAATATCAATTATAACTTGCTAATATTTTAATTTAATACAATTATAAACACCCATACTATGGTGAGACTCAAAGAGAAAAGGAAGAGTCATCCTTTAAAAGCTTTTCTTAATAATTTGACTAATGAGGTTAATAGACCTAGTTTGATTTGTAAACTCAAAATACCCTGAAATACTTCACAAAAGCCACTCATTCTGAAGATTAATCACACTACAGAGTAACATTTCATATTCTTCCATATTTTGCAATGTGGGACTATCAACAATTTTAGTTTGAATAATAAAACTACTCAGAGGAAATATTTAGATATGAAATTTTCTTACTGTATCCAAGGAAAGTAAATCATCTTTGCTCCCACCAAATACCATTATTTCATTTTCTTTCCCCAAACAGGCTGTATGCCATAACCTATAATTGAAAATTATAAGCAGAGTAAAATACTATGAAAAAAGAAACTGTATGTGACATATGTCAATTTTAAACTGCACACTTCACATTTAATCTATTTCAAATGGGCATGATTGAACTTGAACCTTTGGCATATCCTAAAAAAGATTTTGAAGATTCCTCTAGAATCACTAAAGCATTAGCTTCTCATTAAATCACGTCAATGAAGGAGATGACCCCTAATAACTCTTTTCTACTATACCCCCCAACCTTTTTCTAGCCTTTTTATCTCATAGACATTATCACTGAAATAAAATTAATTAAAAAGGAACTAATCATCCTATTGCTGAACTGGACCTTTTCCCCAATTTTCTTATTATCCGCCATGTTACTGTTTTCAACATTTTCAACTTTTCTTTCCTGTTCTCTGTTCCCCATCATCTGACAAACCCAACTTGGCCATCCCTTCACATATACTACTTTAATTATTTGCTGTGTGGATCTTCTAAAGGTCCAAACGTGAGGTCCTTAGATAAAACTTGCCAGTGGTGTGCTGGAAGTGGCTTACCGGCTCAGTGAAACCAGTTCTGCCTGTCTCTATCCAAATCCATGCTCAGTGCCATCACGGAGGGAGCTTGAAATTGGCCATGGTGAAAACCAGCAAATGCTACAAATTTGGGCTTTTCATTTTGTTTTTCCTGGAAAGCAGTTGTTAACCCTTTCCCAGCACACCACTGCAACGTGGGAAATCTGATTTTATGCTTCTCCTTAAAAATGCCTAAATTTGGTGTTCTGCATCCAGTGGGTGCTCAAAAACTCTAATTAACAAAAGCAAATACAAAAAACCACCATAATTTACTCAATTATTAAATAAATTGTTTCATAAGAGTAGAGCATCTAATGTTCTTTTGGAAATGGTCTGATAGCTCACAGTCATCTCCAATTTCACCTTACTTACAAAGCATAATCTTATGTTTGGTAAAATTCAATATTTCTGGGAGCTCTAACTCTCAGGACAAAAACATACATGTAAAGTTCTCAATTTTAGAAGGTAAATCAAGAATTTTACAAAGTCATTGCTTTGACTCTGAGAGAATTTTGATGACTTCCCTTAACAGACCAAATTGCTGAAGCAACAGACACCCCAATTACACATTATCACTTATTTTATTACCACATAACTTGTTTTTAGTACATTTATCCTTTTCACTTAACTCCCACAACTGCAAACAGTAGGATTATGCACAACTGGTTACATCAAGTACTTTCCTCAAACGATCACTCACACATCCAATGACAGTTGCACTCGGGACCCAGGATAGAACTGAGTCATGAGAGATTTTGTTTAGGAACTACTCTGCCCAATTCTCCAACTTATATGTTAGAACATAAATTGATATAAGTCTTCATCGACACCCAGATTATGGTGCGGGCTTGGGGATGGGGAACTGGATAAAGGAAATGGAATACAAGGAACGTTTAATTTCTGGGAGAGGGGGCCATATGTGACCTTGGCAACAGTCATGGGATCTGTCAGGAAGCACCTGAGGCTCTATAAGTCAACACTTTGTTGGACTTCTTTTATAGACCCGTTAAAAAAAGGGTCCTTGCTGACAGCCACTTATACAGGCAGTTAGATATGGCTAGATAGATGGCCTTTCAACCAAGCCTCGCTCTAACCAAGGTGAGACCTGGAAGAGAGAGCACCACCCTACAGAATAGTGGTTTTCAACCAGGGCTGATTTTTGCCCCCAAAAGACTTTTGACAATATCTGAAATATTTTTGATTGTCACAACTCCAGGTGTGTGTGTGTGGGAGGGGCAGTACTACCGGCCTCTAGTGGGTGAAGGCCAAAGATGCTGCTAAACATCCTCCAGTGCACAGGACACCCCTAATGACAAAGAATAATTTGGTCCAAAATGTCAATAGTGCTGAGGTCAAGAAACCCTGCTGTAGGATTACAAGAGGAGAATTGGGCCATTTACATTTCAAATTATAACTTGAAACAGTTTGCACAAAATGTATTTAGATGTTAAATTCTCACTCATAAAAAATTAGTATACACACACACACACACACACATATATATGTTCTCCTTACACTAAACTGTATCCCACCTGTTCTCCTCCTCACCTCATACCTGAAGATAGATCTGCCTCTGTCTTATCTGCCTTAGGGAAACTCTGGCCTGGACTTCATCATCGAAGAACACTGGAAAGCCTTTCCTGCCTTGATTTTGGTGACATCTAGCTTGCAACCTGATGTTTTGTCTATAGACTTGAGAGTTTATGTCCTCTCACAGCTGCTCTAAACTTATCACCTAAACATTCTAATAAAGCATATTGTTTACATGACACATCAGCTGAATTCAAAGAAATCTCTTTATATAGCTCAGTTCTAACTGATATTATTGTTAATAATAGTTGTGTTGCCCTAATTACTTATTAAGGATTGAATTATAAAACAGGAGCAATTTAAAAATTAAACATATTCTTACTACAACTTTGGTCCAAAATTAATGCATTCGTACAATTAAATGACTGGAAGAGAACTCAGAGCTTCTCCAATCCAAGTCCCTCATTTCATGGGATGAAGAAATTAATGCTCAGTTTCTTTAAGTGACTTTCCCAAAGCCAAAAAGCTAAGTAGTAGCTGAGCAAGGACTAGAATGCTGGGCTCCCATATCTTAATATAAAACTCTTTATATTAAAAAATGCATTTCAAAAGATCCAAATTGCTAAAATAATACATTCCAATGAATTTTTACACATGAAAATATAAGAATCACATACGTAATTATGATAAACTCTAAATGTTTTATACATATTAATATAGATACAGACACTGAAATGTATACACATTTTTTCAGGCCTTTTTCTCAGGTAAGTTACTTAATTGCCACTTATTAAACTTCTGAAATGCATACCAGTAAGTTGACTTCACACTTGTATACATAATCTATAGGAAAAAAAAATTCTGAAATACATGGCATGCAAAAGAGTAAACTCTATTACTAACTGTAATGATTATAATGTGTTGACTCTGAATTTCCTCTGAATATATTTTTATTATACTACTCTCTCAAATTAGAAAAAAAAGAATTACAATACTAATGTGGTTTTCTTTGTACAGTTGACCCTTGAACAACGCAGGGGTTGGGGTGCTGATACCCCCCAGCGTCGAAAATCGACATATGATTTTTGGCTCCTCAAAACTTAAGTACTAATAGCCTACTGTTGACCAGAAGCCTTATCAATAGCATAAAGTCAATTAATACATATTTTGTATGTTATATGTATTATGTACTGTATTCTTACAATAAAGTAAGCTAGAGAAAAGAAAACATTATAAACAAAACAAAACAAATAAATAAATAAAAAGCAAAATCAGACCTACGAATACAGAGAATAAACTGATGATTGACAGAGGAAAAGGGAGTGGGGAGGATGGGCAAAACGGGGGGGGGGGGACTGGGAGATACAGGCTTCCAGTTATGGATGAGTAAGTCATGGGAATAAAAGGTACAGCCTACGGAATACAGTCAATGACACTGTAGTAGCATCATATGGTGACAGATGGTGCCTATGATTATGGCGAGCATAGGTTAATGTATAGAGTTGTTGAATCACCGTGTTGTACACCTGAAACTAATGTAACACTGTGTGTCAACTACACTCACATTTTAAAAAAGAAAATGTTATTAAGAAACTCATATGGAAAATACATTTACAGTACTGTGTTTATTAAAAAAAAATCCATGTAGGGGCGACTGGGTGGCTCAGTCGTTGGGTGACTGGGTGGCTCAGTCGTTGGGCGACTGCCTTCGGCTCGGGTCGTGGTCCCAGGGTCCTGGGATCGAGTCCCGCATCGGGCTCCCTGCTCTGCAGGAGGCCTGCTTCTCCCTCTCCCACTCCCCCTGCTGTGTTCCCTCTCTCACTGTGTCTCTCTCTGTCAAATAAATAAATACAATCTTTAAAAAAAAAAAACAAAATCCATGTAGTGAGTGGATCCATGCAATTCAAACTCTTGTTGTTCAAGGATCAATTGTAGTCTAATAATATATTTTTTCTACAACTTTTACTCTATAATATATGACAAATAATTAACATTTCTTTTTCAAAAATTCATATTAATGAATACATCAGTTAATTAAAATAACAATCTGCCATCTATTTGATCAACATGAAAGTAATTTTCTCACTAAATAGCAAAAAACCTCTTCCAAAAACAAGTAACTACTAAAGCCATCCCCATTCTTGTCTACTTATCAAAAATATTAACATTATATGATACTTCCAATTTCTTAGCCTTTTCATATTATCAGGGAAGATTATAATTTACCTAATTTACCTATAATTTACCTAATAGAGTAACATTTTCAAGTATGCAAATATGGATGAAAACAGAATAGGCCATTTCTAACAATCAGACATAATTAAAATGATAAATTACTTAGGTAACATCAAGCTTCTTTGAAAGATATCTTTCTTGATGATTTACAATTTTAATGGCAAACACTACAAAATCAGTGCTATATTTTAATACTCCAGAAATTCTTAACTATTTTACTATTCATTAACTTCTAGACTTACCTGGGTCTTGTTTTAGGTAAGTGTGTAAGTTGTTTCCAACCATTTGTTATGACATTATAAATCCAACCATCACCTGCAATTATGACAGTTCAGAAATTAAGATTAGGTCTTTGGGATAAAATTTAAATTTTTTCCCAAATTTATCTGCTACATTTATGCAACTATCTTTTGTGTGTATGCATATTTCCTCACAAAAATTTTCAGAGATATACAAAAGTAGAGTGACCATGACAATGAACCTTCACATACCCCAGATTCAACAACTATCAAGATTTTGTCACAGGTGCTCCATTTAGCTCTTTTTTGTTATTCTTGAGGCTCAATTACTCTGAAGCAAATCCTAGATCTCCTGTCATTTTCCCCATATATACTTCAGTAAACATTGCTTTAAAAAATACAATGTTTACAGAACCACAATGCCATCATCTCATTGCCACAATGCCATTATCATAGTCAACAAAATTAAAATAATTCTTTTTTTTAAAGATTTTATTTATTTATTTGGGAGAGAGAACGAGTGGCGTGAGGGGCAGAGAGAGAAGCAGGTTCTCTACTGAGCAGGGAGCCCAGTGTGGGGCTTGATTCCAGGACCCTGGGATCATGACCCAAGCCGAAGGCAGACGCTTAACCAGTTGAGCCACCCAGGAGCCCCAAAATAATTCTTGGTATCATATAATACCCAGAAGTTAAGCCCAGGAGGACACCGACTGAACTAAGAGTTAGGACATGGAATTCCCCACATGTCAATGACCAAAAACACCAAATAGGATTTCAAAACGTTACAGCTCAAAAAGACATGATATTAAACAACACCTACTGAAACAAATAGATGTTAGTTTTTTATTAGACTCCAAATCTTTTTTTTTTTTTAAAGATTTTATTTATTTGAGAGAGAGAGAGAATGAGAGATAGAAAGCACGAGAGGGAAGAGGGTCAGAGGGAGAAGCAGACTCCCTGCTGAGCAGGGAGCCCGATGTGGGACTCGATCCCGGGACTCCAGGATCATGACCTGAGCTGAAGGCAGTCGCTTAACCAACTGAGCCACCCAGGCGCCCTCCAAATCTCTTTTAATTAAAAACCTTCAAATTAGAGAAGCATAATCATCTGCAATAACTAAAATCCCCTACTAAAAACTCCTGTTTCTCTAACCAGCTTTTGGAGTTTGTTTGCTGCCTGATTGATGCTCAATAAATTGTTGTTGAAAATAAAAAGTTGTTTCCAGATCCTATATGGAATTGCATAAATGAGGTTTCTTATGAAAACCCCTCTAGTCATGGAAAACTTCTGAGTTAAGAAAACACAAGACATCTAACCTATCAAACTAAGAAGTGGATACTCTTAGTCATTTGTCTATCCTGATGCCACAATTTTACTGCTGGGGAAAAAAAAAAAAACCCTATTACAAAACCATAGCCATTGGAATCAGCAGTAACAGGAGTTTAAAGATTCTGGCTAAGCACTTTCCTTTAGAGTTCTGGAACAAAAAGAGAAGCAACTGGCCTTCCCACCTATATTTCCAGAGCCTTCTGGGGAAGACTGTTCTTCTAATCCCCATTCCAGCCTACAGTGTAAGTATCTGGATCAAAAATCAGGAAGGCACAGAATCACAGAATATTATAGTTGAAAGGGGCTTTAATTCATCTAGGTTCAACCATCACCCTTTCTTTTCTATATACCTAGGAAACAGGAGAACATGGAGAGCCAAAGGTACTAAAGCAAAGGGGTCTTCTAATTCTTTATATAAGCATACAGCTGGGGATAAAGGTAAGCCAGAAAATTAAAAAAGAAAGAAAGAAAGACACCTTACATATCAAATACAATTAAGAAAAAAGAATGAGATAATAATTGTAGGCTAAACTTTAATTGACTTACTTAATGGAATATTGTCTGCACTTAGTCCACCAAATAGAAAAAGTTTATCATCAGCTATTGGTGTTAAAGTATGCCATGACCGATGTTTGGGGTTTTCTCCATTAACAGGAATCCTGTGGCAAGGGAAAAAAAATATAAAAATCTAGTTACTATGTTAGTTAAAATAAAAGGTTTCTGATCATCTCAGATTAAAGTAAAAAACTGCCTTCATGGGGCGCCTGGGTGGCTCAGTAGTTAAGCGTCTGCCTTCAGCTCAGGTCATGATCTCAGGGTCCTGGGATAGAGCCCCACATCGGGCTCCCTGCTCGGCGGGAAGCCGGCTTCTCCCTCTCCCACTCCCCCTGCTTGTGTTCCCCCTCTCACTGTGTCTCTCTCTGTCAGATAAATAAAATCTTAAAAAAAAAAAAGTTTACAAAAAAAAAAACCTGCCTTCACTACTTTTACAAAAAGCTGATTTTACTATCTCTACCTGCATTAAGATTAAGATTTTAAAAACATTCTGAAATGCTTAGATGAATTGAAACAATCTTTCTGGGGCGCCTGGGTGGCTCAGTAGTTAAGTGTCTGCCTTCAGCTCAGGTCATGGTCCCAGGGTCCTGGGATCGAGCCCCGCATCGGGCTCCCTGCTCAGCGGGAAGCCTGCTTCTCCCTCTCCCACTCCCCCTGCTTGTGTTCCCTCTCTCGCTATGTCTCTCTCTGTCAAATAAGTAAATTAAAAATCTTAAAAAATAAATAAACAATAGCTCTATTCCACCTGGTCACAGAACACAGACTGAAAATTATGAAGTCAATTCCCAGTTAATTCCAGTGCATACTTCATATCATTCTTGTTGTTTAATCCATATAACTTCTTCAGTTCTTCAACATAATTATTTTCATGTCTGTAACTTTTTATTGTTGGCCCATGTTTAATTTTATATTTTCAGCTGATTTCTTCAAGGATATTATGGGGTTTGGGTGTTGTTGCTCTTACTTTGGTTTACTTGCTGTACAACTTCCCAAAGCTTCTTTAGCTGAAAATGCTAGCTACTCTAGCTTCAAAATAAAAGTATGCAGGGGCGCCTGGTTGGCTAAGTCAGGTAAGGAGCTGCCTTCAGCTAGGGTCATGATCCAGGGTGCTGGGATTGAGCCCCTGACTGTCAGGCTCCCTGCTCAATGGGGGGTCTGCTTCTCCTTCTCCCTCTGCTCCGCCCCCCCTCTCATGCTCCCCGTCTCTCTGTCTCTCTCTCAAATAAATGAATAAAATCTTTTAAATAAATGAATAAATTAATTAATTAAAAAAATAAAAATAAAATAAAAGTAGGCCTGGGTGGCACAGTCAGTTAAGTGTCTGTGTTTGGCTCAGGTCATGATTCCAGGGTCCTGGGATTGAGTCCCGCATTGGGCTCCCTGCTCAGCAGGAGGCCTGCTTCTCCCTCTGCCTCTCCCCACCAACCCTGGCTTGTGCTCTCTCTCTCTCCTCACTCTCTCTCTCTCAAATAAATAAAATCTAAAAAACAAAACAAAACAAAAAAGACATCCCAAGAAAAGAAAACGACAGGCCAATATTGCTCATGAACGTAGATGCAAAAATCCTCACCAAAATATTAGTAAATCAAATCCAGAAAATTAAAAGAATTATACACCATGACCAAATAAGACTTATTCCCAGTATGCAAGTCTGTTCAACATTCAAAAAGCAGCTAATGGAATCCATCATATCAATAGGCTAAAGAAAAATCAAATGATCATATCAATAGAAGCAGAAAAATAGAAGCATTGGGTTTCCTGCTTAGCAGGGAGTCTGCTCCTCTCTCTCTCTCTCTCTGTCCCTCCCCACTGCTCGTTCTCTCTCTCTCTCTCAAATAAATAAAAAAAATCTTTAAAAAAATGTATGCAAACCATTCCAGTTCCAGGATAAACCTCTAAGGATTCCAAAACAAATACTGTCCTATTCTTAAAAAAATAAAAACCTAAGTACAAAAGTTTAATTTAGGAGGTGAGAAGATACCATTTTCCAGCATTCTGGAATGTTCCAGAATAATATGGGCCATTTGTAGAAGATATAATTATTTTTTCCAAAATGGAAATATTTTTATGGTTTGTGCTGACTATAAGAATCATATTGGTTACAAAATGTTCAACAACCACAAAAATATTTTTTTCCACAAAAGTATTTTTAAAAAGGAGAGTTCTCTTATAATCCTGTCCTCCAGCAATAAGAAATTATAATAATTTGGTATCTATCTTTCTAGGTTTTAATGTACATATAAACATATTTATTAAAAAATATAAATGGGATCATATATTCTGTTCTGCAACTTTTTTCATTCAATTAATATGTTGTAGAATATTTCTATAACTTCCTTTGGTAATGGAAGCATAGTAGCCCACCGGGTAAATGTACCATGATTTAAACAATCCCCACTTGTGAACATGAGGGTTGACTGCCAGTTCTTGGTTTTATAATAATGTTGTAAAACAAACGCACACGCGCACACATGTCCAGTTACTGTCTTTGGAGAAATTCTGGGTCAAAGTAGAAATTCCATTTTACACTTTATTTATTTTTTTAAGATTTTATTTATTTGACACAGAAAGAGAGAGAGAGAGAGAGCAAGCACAAGCAGGGGGAGCAGCAGGGAGAGGGAGAAGCAGGCTCCCTGCTGAGCAGCGGGCCCAACACTGCGGGGCTCAATCCCAGGACCCCAGGATCATGACCTGAGCCGAAGGCAGATGCTTACCCAACCAGGTGCCTCTGGCTTGCATACTTTTATTTTATTTTACATTTTAAACATATCACCCCCCCCCATTTTACATTTTAAACATATTGCCAAACTACCTTCCAGAAAAACTGTACCAATTTATACTCCCGCTAATTGTGTTGTTATAACCTAGCACACACTGGTTATTTGTGATTATTTTTATCTGATAAATGAAAACTATTATTTTTAGTTCCATTTCTTTGTTTATGAGGTTGAACATCTTTTTTTTTTTTAAGATTTTATTTATTTGACAGAGAGAGACACAGTAAGAGAGGGAACACAAGCAGGGGGAGTGGGAGAGGGAGAAGCAGGCTTCCCGACTAAGCAGAGAGCCTGATGTGGGGCTGGATCCCAGGACCCTGGGATCATGACCTGAGCCAAAGGCAGATGCTAAACGACTGAGCCACCCAGGCACCCCTGAACATCTTTTTAAAATAATTTTTGTGGGCACCTGGGTGGCTCAGTTGGTTAAGTGTCTGCCTTTAGCTTGGGTCATGGTCTCAGAGCCCTGGGATCGAGTCCTACATCAGGCTCCCTGCTCAATAGGGAGTCTGCTTCTCCATCTCCCTTTGCCCCTCCCCCTACTCATGCTCTCTCTCTCTCTCTCTCTCTCTCTGTGTGTGTGTGTGTGTCTCTCTCTCAAATAAATAAAAGCTTTTAAAAAAGAAAATAATTTTTGCCCATTTGTATTTCTCCTCTGAGTTGCTCATTTATGTTCTATCTTTGTCCACTCTTCTGTTGGATTATTTGTCTTTTCCTTACTGATTTTCTAAGTTCCTGTGGATTTAAGCCCTGTAAAAAATACTGCAAGTGCACCCAGGTGGCTCAGTCTGTTACGTGTCTGCCTTCAGCTCGGGTCATGATCTCAGGGTCCTCGGATCCAGCTACGCATTGGGCTCTCTGCTCAGCGGGGAGCCTGCTTCTCCTTCTCTCTCTGCCCCTCTCCCCACTGGTGCTTTCTCTCTCTCTCAAATAAATAAAATCTTTAAAAAAATACTGCAAATATGACTTCTAATTTGTTTTTTGTTTGCATTTTCCAATTTGCCTTTTAACTTTGGTATAGGTTTTTAAGATTTTATTTATTTATTTATTTATTTGAGGGGTGCCTCAGTCAGTTAAGCATTTGCCTTCAGCTCAGGTCATGATCTCAGAGTCCTGGGATTGAGCCCCATGTCGGGCTCCCTGCTCAGTGGGGAGTCTGTTTCTCCCTCTCCCTGTCCCCCTCCCCACTGTTCGTGCTCTCTCTTGCTCTCTCCCCCTCAAGTAAATAAAATCTCAAAAACAAAACAAAGATTTTATTCATTTATTTGAGAGAGAGAGAGAGCACAAGCAGTAAGATAGGGAGAAGCAGGCTCCCCGCTGAGCAGGGAGCCCACCGCAGGGCTTGATACCAGGACCCCAAGATCATGACTGGAAAGCAGACACTCAACCGACTGAGCCACCCAGGTGCCCTGGGGTTTATACCATCTTTAGAAAAACTTTCTCCATGCCAAGATTTTAAAGACAATCTGCTATAATTTTTTTTCTGGCAGTTTTACAGTTTCATTTTTAATAGCATTTCTATTTTGGAATAATATATAGCTCTGATTCCATCGCATTACACGAACAGCTGAAGTGATAGCTAAATAGATTTATTCTATTGTTAAATATATATTTTGAACTACAATTAAAATCTGACTTTTACCTACTTCATTATCTATTTACTTGTGATGACCCCAATAAACTCTTCCTTCATTTCTTCTACTGACCAGTTCTCAAGAATACTTAGTACAAAACCAGCACTTTTACATAATCAGTTTTAAACTGCTGGTATTCTCATGTATTATTTAGTTTAGTTAAAGAACAAACTCTGCATTTAAATCTGTATATTCTTTGCTTAGACGTATAATCTGAAGGAAAAAGATACTAATTCAGTTCTAGAGACTCAAATTTGGGTTTTGGTCCCAAAGACACACACACACACACACACACACACACACACGCCTTTCGATTAAAAATATACTTAAGTCTCAAACTTACCTTCCAGACCAAGTCCAGGTATCTAAGTTCAGATAGTGCAAATCATTCATCCTAGTTTGCTAAAATAAAATGTGTTAAGTTAGTCTGTGTTTTACATTTTTCATGGGCTAAAATTTTGGTTTTAAAGTTATTTCAGATTAAAAATAGACCATCTGCATTTTACTTAACATCAGAAGTTTATATATTGGGAAACAATGCTAAGTGTTAATCAAATTGATATAGAGCTACCCAATTAATTTGTCAAGGGGGAAAGGAAGAAATGGGTTTAAATTAACAGGATTTAGATGTTCAGAAATTAAACTTTTCTGGTTATGCACTGAAGTGAAGGAGACTCCTCATTAAAATATGATTTATAAATCATCTGTGATGACTCATGTATAGTCTGTTTAGGGGATGGAAAATAAATAAATGTTATTACTGAACAGCATTTTAGTATCTATATAATTTGAATAGTCATTTGTTCCCCAAAATCAGAAAATAATTTTTGTAAGAAGAATCACACATAAAAATACCATTTCCATTAAAAACACTAACCAAAACACGTCCGCCAAAAATATAGCCCTTATTTCCAAGAACTGCACATGTGTGCGCGGCTCGCGGCTGTGGAGGAACTCCATCCTGCAAGCAGAGATGAGAAAATGCAAAGCCTTGAAACATCTCTAAGGGCGTCCCACTCCTACACTCAGTATGAGAAATACCTGACACCAAATCACCATTACCCCTGTAATTCAATAAAAATCCTAATGCAGGGGCACCTGGGTGACTCAGTCGTTAAGTGTCTGCCGTCGGCTCAGGTCATGATCCCAGGGTCCTGGGATCGAGCCCCGCATTGGGCTCCCTGCTCGGCGGGAAGCCTGCTTCTCCCTCTCCCACTCCCCCTGCTTGTGTTCCTGCTCTCACTGTGTCTCTCTCCGTCAAATAAATAAATAAAATCTTAAAAAAAAAAATCTAATGCAAAAGTTCATTCTAAACAGTAATGATTACAGACAAACACTGCTCTTCAAGAATGAAATTTAGGGGCGCCTAGGTGGCCCAGTCGGTGGGCGTCTGACTCTTGGTTTCGGCTCAGGTCATGATCTCAGGGTGGTGAGGTGGAGCCCTGCCTTCCATGGGCGCTCAGCTGGGAGGCTGCTTGAGATTCTCTATCTCCCCCTCCGTCTGTCCCTCCCCCTGCTCCTGTGCACGCTTTCTCTCAATAAATAAATCTTAAAAAAAAAAAAAAGAATGAAATTTACTCTGATCTTTACTTTTTAAAGTGCTTTTCTTAAATGCCTGACACTATTTAGCAAAATAAAATTTCATGTAAATTTCAGCTCGAAATATAAAGATCTAAAAATCAAATTTAAAAGATTCTCTCTCTCCCTCCTTCCCACTCTCTCTCCCCACACCCTTCCCCCACAGAGTTCATATTATGAGTGAGCAGTACACAGTGTGATTATCTCAGAGACTCTAAAAAATCACATCTGCCCCCTCAAACTCTTGGTGTCTCAAATTCCACAATAAGAACTTCACTCTTGCCTTAAGCCAAACAGTGCTTTATTGCTTACTAAAACTCTTCCCATTAACTGATAACACTTTTCTATACTTTACTTTGAATAAATATAGCAGATCTTTCCTCCAGAGAAGTTTTGGATTGGTGGGAAAAGAGAGAATGTAATGGGCAGATGAATGAATGAGATTTGAAAGAAAAATTTTCTGCATAATTTCCATGTGTTCATGGTGGGTGCCTTTGTGTATGCATTTCAGTCCAAGTTCGGAAAGAACTTTTTCAACATTTTCAGCGCATTGGCTCCTGAATGTGGGCACAGGACATTTAAGCTCTACCACCAATATCATAACTCTCTAGACTTCAGGCTTGCTTGAATGACTGTCCTGAAGCAAACACAGTAAGAAATAATTCAGATATTACCAATTTAACACTTAAATAAGTGAGAGAGAACCTTTTGAAATGTGGTTCCCAGCTATTCCAGCAAGACAAAATCTTTATTATTACCCCATTCCTGATCTGAAATTTTGGAAAAATTATTCTACTATATACACATTTATTATGAAATAAATACCAAACTTCTATCAAATGCATTTATTAGCCATCTAAAGCTTCTGAATAAACTGAATTCATGTAATTCCAAACAAAAACAAAGAAAGGGCACTTGCATTAATCTGTGTGTCTAACTGCCTAAATAATGTACAATGCTTCTTAAGTTGCTTGAAATACTGAAAATAACTCAAAGATCCCTACTACTAATATATTGCTCTTAAGGGGTAAAAATCCCATGTAGGAAAAACACTTTCAACCTTCCCATTTTATAGATGACACACTAAATGGCTTATCTAAAGTACAGAGCTCTTTTAGGACAGAATTAGAATGCAAATCCAATTTCTTTTAACTTTGACACCAATAATTGGTACGTTCTACCATGTTGCCTTGTCTTTTGGTGCTGATATTTGGGAATAATATAGTACTTTAAGAAGGTGTCTAAAAAAATGAAGAGACATCCAGCTACAGCCATGTCAGAAGAACTTTCAGATAAAATATAAACAATATAAGAACTTATTTGAAGAAATCATCAGAGAAATTACAGTGAAAATCTTGGTAAATATGAACTAAAATAGGGTCAAAGTTATATAAGAATGTTGGAGGGGGGTTACAGACTGAGGTAAGAAGAGAAAGAAGGAGCCCAAGAACTAATTATAAGTTACCTCAGCGCCCTTATCCTCAGGATCACCTTCTACCTTTTTTTTTTTTTTTTTTTAAAGTAGGCTCCACCCCCAGCCTGGAGCCCAACATGGAGCTTGGACTCAGAACCCTGAGAACAAGAGTCGAATGCTCCACTGACTGGGCCAGCCCGCTGCCCTGACAAAGCACATGCCACAAATATGCCTTCGAGATCTGCAGACCCCTGCTTTTTCTCTAAAGAAGGAGAGGCTACAGATGCCTGAAAGAGATCCAGGATAAGTTTCAATAGATCCAGTCTCAACACTATTTCTTGTCACCTGCTGGCTGACATAAAATTATCTGAACAGAGATAAAACGCTTTTATTTCATTAACAAAGACATAAATCTTAAAATTCAAATGGATGTATGTCATTTGTGCATATTAGTGGACAGTTTTGGTTTTGCCTGTTTAGCACTACATTCTGCACAGTTCTGGTGACCTATCACCCACAACCCCCGGCTCTCCTAGGGTAGGCCTAAGATGTGAGCCTAGCCTATCACCCCCTTGGCAACAGGGACTAATGTTAGGAGGGGGAACCTGCCCAAATACAGCCAGAGTCCTTTTCTAGGACTAATTTGTAGACCTTGAAAGAACACAGCACCAATGGAAAGGACTGGTTGGATAGCCAGGACCATATTCCCTCCTAAATGAGGTGGCTGGTCTGCAGTAGACAGAATGAAGCTAGCAGACAAAGAGAATCAGAGACAAACTAACAAAGAGATGTAAAATGTTGTGATGGTGTTGAGTAACTTGCTCTAGCTCCTGAGGCCCTAATCCCTGCTGCTCTTCCACTGTGTGAGACACTCCAAAATAAAACTTCCCTCTATGTAAAAATTCATTATGGCTTAAGCTAATTTGAATTTGGGTTTGCTCACCAGCACATGAAAGAGTATAATAATGTATTTTTATCATGCTTTAATTGCATGTAGATTTCAAGAGTTTATGAAATATGGGCTTTTCAAAATTGTGGACTTGATTATAAAAGGACATTTTAAAAAAAGATTTTATTTATTTTTGCAAGAGAGAGAAAGAGCGAGCAAGCATGAGCAGGGTGGGGGGGCAGAGGGAGAAGCAGACTCCCCATTGAGCAGGGACTCTATCCCAAGACCCCAAGATCCTGACCTGAGCCAAAGGCAGATGCTTAATGGACTGAGCCACCCAGGTGCCCTAAAAGGACATTTTAAAAGTGCCACCATTAAATCAGGACATCACACTTGCGGGTAAAGAATGATGATGGTACCCACTTTAGAAGATTTTTCTAGAAAAACTTAGCTAGCCTGGAGAAAAACAGGTGATTAAAAAAAAAATATTAGTGATGGTACTCAAGGGATTATATGATTATAAACTCAATTGCTAAAATCCAAATAATTTAGCAAAAAAATATTCTTTTAAAGTATCAATGAGTAGGAGCACCTGGGTGGCTCAGTTGGTTAAGCAGCTACCTTCAGCTCAGGTCATGATCCCAGGGTCCTGGGATCAAGCCCTGCATCGGGCTCCTTGCTCGGCAGAGAGCCTGCTTCTCCCTCTCCCTCTGCCTGCCTGCCGCTAACCCCTACCCCTTGTGCTGTCTCTCTCACTATCCCTCTCTCCATGTCAAATAAATAAATAAAATCTTTAGAAAAAAAATAAAGTATCAAAGAGTATATAAATACAAAGGTAACTTTTTACAATACTTACTTTAATTTCTGGTTGAAACCAATTCTGTGTCTTTGTATCAAATACATGAACATCATTATGCCATCCCCAGAAGATCTGTTCTTCCTAAAACAGGAATTTTAAAAATATTTCAAAGCTTTTATAATCTTTAGGTTATTGTAATAAATGTCATTGCATATTTACTGGTGAAATAATAGACACCATTATAAAAACAGAGGTAAGCGTTACCGTAGTCATAAAGCTAATGCACACGCCAGTGGCCCACAAAGTGTGGCCTCCAAACCAGTAGCAACTTGTCTTCTCTTAGCACTACCTGCAGTGAGTCATAAATTTACTTGTTGATAATCTTCCAATTCCCTCAAAGAATTATCTCTTTGGAAATTGCAGAGGACAAAATGACATTTATATCTTGCGATCTGTGTTCCTACAGTGCATGCTCAGAATTCCTAATCTTTGCAATTAGGAACCTTAGGGGACCATGGTTCCTTTTTCCAAAAAGCTCCAATCACTTCTACTTAACCAAGCAATTTGTTCTTACAGGTCAAACTTGGGCTTGCTCTCTTATCTGCCTTTTAAGAGACAAAATTATGGGCAGCCATTTAGCAATTATACTATATTTAGCATCTCTGGATTGTTGAAATCCTCTATTACTGCCTTAGCTTACCTCTGTGTCAATTTTAGGTTCTATGCCAGAAATACATTATTCATTTTTGTCAGAACTTGTCAAACAAGTTAAACATACTAAACAATTTCCTTAATTAAAATATAAATGAAAAGAAATCTACTTGTACACCAGAAACATCAGGACATGATTCTTAGCCTAACTGTACTAGGAGAGAGAAAAAAATGAGTAAAAATATGTAGATATAAGTAATGGGAATTTATATTTCTGAAAATTATCAGTAATACTATAAGTAACAAAACTTTAAGGGTATTTTATTTTAAAAACTCAAAAACCATGTAAATGCATAGAGATCTTTTTAAATACCTATACACAAAAAGATATACATGAAATGTACATATATATTTACATTACAATGTACAATAACAATATATGCTAGTAAAAGGTAAAATGGAAGAGCTACTATGTATCTTGGTGCTAGGATCAATGGTTTTTAAAGTTATCTTTTAAAAGGTTTCATTTTTATGTCATGTCTTATTTCATTAGTTTATTCTCTAACCAGTAAGAATAAGTAGGAAAGGTAATATCACGACCAACTTACTCACTGTCATACAGAGGTCAGCCTGAGCTATGAATAGTTCTGGTAGACATACCTAGAAGGAGGTGTATGTCAGCAACAGCCATTCTGGTTGTCTATGAACAGAGTTTTTCCAAGTTGTGCTAAAATCTCTACTTGTCTAACAGAAACAGGTGTAAGTGATTAATAAAGTAAGACATTATTCTGCCAGTAGCCATGAAGGCTAATACCACTAGGTGAGAGAAGGTGAGAGAGCCTCCTCCAACTGAATCTGAATCCAAAAAAGAGAAAACACGTTTTTTTTTTCATAGTGTCAATTATGGCAAGTTAAACTGAGAAAGACTGGAGTCATCATTTCTAAAGACTTTAAAGTGATACTAAATTAGAGGAAAATGTAAACAGTGATTACCCAAGATGCATCATGAACATCAAAACAGTCTTGGAGTTCATTGTGTCTCCTACACCCATAGCCACCAAAATATATTAATCTGAAAAACAAATTCAAAAGAACACACTTTAGAATTTCTATTTCCAGTCTGTTCAATGAAAGTTGAAAGAGATCATCTCTCTCACCCTAATAACCTAAACTAGCCAAATAACCTAAAAAACCATAGTTTAAAAAAAATCAAAGAGAGAAGGGAACAAAGAAATCTAAATGAACTAATTCCAGAAAGTGATGGACTCTCAATAGGAGGGAAGAGACCCATGCATGGCTGCTTTCATTCCTGGTATGACAGCAAGAGGAGGAAGAATCCAGGACAGAAAGGGTTTGTAAAAGAAATCACCCAAAATTTTAACAGCCACTTATAGACTGGCATGGCAAATTAGAATCTTAAGAAAATCAGCCACAGTGGGAATTTGAATCCACTCAACAAGTCCTTCACATAGTTTTCAGAAGGCTCACACCAGTCATCAACAGGTTGGAAGCAGAAGAGAACTAAGCAAACATCTTTGAGGCAATATGAGCTTTAAACTACTAAAGTCTGAGACCAGGACAGGAGATCTGAAGCAAATACCTCAGAGGCATATCAAGTCATTAATAGCACACAGGATGGCTGCCCTCAAAAGTCCAAGGGAGGAGATACAAGGCTGAAAAAGATCTCCCAAGGTACAGAAAGCAAAACGTGGCACTGGAGAGCAAAGAGAACTCCCTGGTGACCCAAAGACCTCCCAATGAGGCTATAAAACAGGGAGAGATCTTCCACAGTTCTGAGGGTGAAAACACTGTGAAGTACAGCTGAACATCTTTAGATAATCTGCATGCAGTGCTCAGACACGGGGTCCTAGCAAAGGACAGTCATGATCTTGCCTCAAAACATTTGAAGCCAGTTGTACAACAGTTACAACAGTTGCAATAATCCCAAACACAACTCAACTACAAATGAGACTGACTGAACTACCACTCTAACAGCCTGAGAAAAACAGAAAAGGGCCTGTCCTTTTCTGGAGATAAATATCCTTTTTTCTAATACTTACTATTCTTTCATACAGAACATCTGGAATGTGGTGAAAAAATTACAAGATACATGAAAAGGCCAAAAAAAAAAAAAAAGCGACCTATGATCAAGAGGGGGTCAGTATAAGCTGACACCAAGGTGGCCCAGACCGTGGAATTATCAGACATGGTATCTACAGTAACTATGATAAAGATGCTAACAGACCTAGTTTGTAAAATATGGACAACATGCAGGAAGAACAGAGCAATTTCAGCAGAGATACAGAACCACGGAAAAGAACTACTAAATGGAAATGCTAAAAATGAAAAAAAAAGATGTCAGAAATAAAGAATTGATTAAATAGGTTTCACAGGAGACTGGACATAGCAATGGGAAAGACCAGTGAACTTGAGACAGGTCAAGAGATCAATAAAAAGTATCCAAATTAAACTAAAGAGAAGAAAAGAGTTGGGGGGAGGGGGAAACCCAGGGATCCCAAGCTCTGTGGAGCAATATGAAATGGTCTAATGTCATATAACAGGTATCCCAGAAGAAGAGACAAAGAAACGTGTAGAAGAAATATCTGATAATTACTAAGAGCTTCCTAAAACTGATGAAAGATGTAAACCCACCAACCCAAAAAGCTCAGCACACTCCAAGCAGGATAAATACAAAGGAAACTACAAATAGGAACATTTTAATCAAATCAATGAGGAACAAAAATAAAAAAAATAAAGAAAAGCCAGAGGAAAAAAGATATATACAGCGGAACAAAACCACAAATAAGAGTGACTTTCTCACCAGAAAAATGGAGGCCAAAACCAATGTAATAAAATCTTTAAAGTGCTGAAAGAAAAGAAAAAGCAACTGTCAACCCATGGGTGGAGAAAAAATACACAAGGGAAATTAAAAATTACCTAGAAATGAATAAAAATGAAAATACAATAAAATAAAAAAGAAAATGCAGTAAAACAAAACTTATGGTATGCAGTGAAGGTGGTGCTCAGAGGGAATTTTATAGCTGTAAATGCCTAAATATTTTTTTAAAACCTCTCAAATCAATAACATAACTGTACACATTAAGGAACTAGAAAGAAGAGCAAACTAAACCCAGAGATAACAGGAGGAAGGAAATAATGAAAAATAAAGGGGAAATAAACAAAACAGTGATTAGGAAAATAGAGAAAAACAATATACCAAAAGTTGGTTCTTTGAAAAGATCAACGAAATTGACAAATCTTTGGCTAGGTTGGCAAAAAAGAAGAGAAAACTCAAAGTACTAACACTGGAAATGACAGAGGGGACATTACTAGCAACATTACAAAAATTAAAAGGACTATAAGAGAATACTACAACAGACTGGATAAGTTAGATATAATAGAATAATTTCTGAAAAGACACTATCAAAAATGGTTTATGAAGAAATAGAAAAACTGAATAAACCTATATAACTGAGTCAGTAATCAAAAAACCTCCCAACAAAGACAAGCCCAGGACCGATGGCTTCAGTGGCAAATTATACCAAACATTTACAGAATATTAATACCAACCTTCTCAAGTCTTCCCCCTCCATAAATGAAAAGAACACTTCTTAACTCATTCTATGAGGCCAGCCAGCCCAAAACATTAGAACAAAAAAACTCTACATATGTCTGATAAGAGATTAATATCCAGAGTAAGTAAAGAACTCCTATAAGTCAACAAAAAAAGACAACCCAATTTTTAAAAATGGACAAAGGACTTGCATAGACATTTCTCCAAAGAAGATATACAAATAGCCAAGTATATGGAAAAATGGTCAACATCACTAGTCCCTGGGGAAATACAAATCAAAACCACAATGAACACCACTGCATACCCACTAGGATAGCTGTTATTTTTGAAGAAGAAGAAGGAGGAGGAGGAGGAGGAGGAAGAAGAGGAGGAGGAGGAGGAAAAGAAAGGGAGGGAGAGAGGGAAGAAGGAAGGAAGGAAGGAAGGAAGGAAGGAAGGAAGGAAGGAAGGAAGGACGGAAGGAAAAGAGCAAGTGCTGGTAAGGATGTGGATAAATTAGAACCCAAGTACACTGCCAGTGGAAATATAAAATGGCACAGTCATTGTGGAAAAGAGTTTGGTGTTTCCTCAAAAAACTAAACATAGAATTACCATATGACCCAGAAATTCTACTCTTAGGCATATAGCCAAAAGAATTGGAAACAGGGACTCAAACAATACTTGTAAGCCAATGTTCATAGCAGCATTATTCACCACAGCCAAAAGGTGGAAAAAAGCAAGTGTTTATCAACAGATGACAGATAAACAAATGCACACAATGCATATAATGAAATGTTATTCAGCTGTAAAAAGAAAGAAGTTCTGATACATACTACACATAGTGAACTCCGAAAATATTTTGTTAAGTGAAATAAGCCAGACACCAAAGAATAAATATTGAATGATTCCACTTTTATAAATACCTATAATAGGCAAATTCATGGAGATAGAAAGTAGATTAGAAGTTACCAGAGGCTAGGGAGAAAGGGGAATGGAGAAGTGTTACTTAATGGGTATAGAGTCTCTGTTTGGAGTGATGATAAATTTGGGAACTAAATAATGGTGATGGTTGCACAAAGTTGTGAATGTAATGAATGGCACTTCATTAGACACTTAAATATGGTTAAAATGGCAAATTTTATGTTATATGTATTTTATCATGACTTTAAGAAAAAGGTGTAGTAAAAATAATTCTCTCTCCTACTCTCAATCATTCAATTTCGCTATCTAGGGCAACCACTGTTTCCTGTTTCTTATATACACAAACAAGAAAAACTTCAAAGGATCAAAAATACCTGGTAGAGTTGGGATCAATTAAGTCTAGGACACAAAAGCCCTAATCATAAGGAAAAGATTGGTAAATTAGACTATACTGAAATCAGATTACACTGCTGAGAGAATGAAGAGATACATACCCAATCGAAATGTTTACCCTTATGTATCAAAGTACATAAAAGAATGTTCATAGCTATATTATTCCAAAGAGTCAAAAAGTGGAAATGCCCCAAATGTCTATCAACAGTAGAATGAATAAATATTTTGTAGTATTTCATTTAATAGAGTAATATAAAGGAAATAAAACCATAGGTACACACATCATGAATGACTCTCAAAAATGTAATTTCAGTAAAAGGATAAGTTCTATAGGATGCCACAGCTAGTATAAAAAATAAAACAATAACTAATTTAGGATACTAAAAGTCTGCATAATGGTTTCCCTTAGCAAGGAGGCTGAGCACAGTGATTATGAAGTGAACATAATGAAGGATTTTAGAGAGTTGATGAGGTTCTGTTTCTTTACTTGGGTGGTAGTTACGTGTGTTCATTTTGTGATAATTATTTATTTAAGGTATACACTTAATGATTTACAGTAGTCCTATAAGAATGTTCTGTAAAGCTTCAATATCTATACTAGTGAAGTACTTGTTCATTAACAGATCAGTGTAATAGGATAGAAAACTCAGACCCAAATACCAATGAAAATTAGGTGAATACATGATAAAGGTAAGGAAATAACGGAGTTACAGACAGGCAGCCATTCAAAAAAAGATAAACTTGGATCCATATCTCATAACCATTCACAGAATAAGTTCCAAATGAATCTACAATTTAAATGTAAAAAATAAGGGGAGGGGGTGGAGGGATGGGGTAACTGGATGATGGTCAACATCAGGGAGCTTATGTGTTGTAATGAGCATTATATAATGTAATGAGTATTATATAAGACTGATGAATCACAGAACTGTACCCGTGAAACAAATAATATTTTGTATGTTAATTGAATTTAAATTAAAAAAATAAATGTAAAAAATAAAATGACAAGGTACTAGAGGAAAATATATAGGTAAATTAATATATAAGCTTTTAATCAAGATTCAAGATCAGGAAGCCACAAAACACGCAGAACACATACTAAGCAAACTCAAAAGACAAGTGACAAACTGGAAAAATATTTTCATATCGTATCATAGTCAAACACTAATTTCCTTAATATATAAATAACTCCTAGAAATCAAGTTTACAAAAGCAAAACTCAAATAGAAAATAATTAGCAAAGGACACAAACAGTATAGACAAAAAGAAAGAAAAATTGCCCTTAAACATATGAAAATACATTCACACCCCACAAAAAATTTTTTCAGTGAAGATGAAAATAAGACAGATATTTCTCACTTATCAGTCTGGCAAGCAAACAAACAAACAAACAAACAATCTGAGTTTGCCAGCAAACTCTTGGCAAGACTATGGAGAAACAAGCATTCCATTGTTGGAATGCAAAATGGCCCCACTTCTATGGAGGAAAAATTGACAGAATCTGTTGCTATAGGTTTAATTGTGTTCTCCTTTCATATGTTGAAGTCCTAATCTCCAGTATCTCAGAATGTGACCTTATTTGGAGATAGGTTCTTTACAGAAGCAATCAATTTAAAATGAGGTCCTTAGGGGAGGCTCTAATCCAGTATGACTGGTGTCCTTATATAAGGGACAAATTCAGAGACAGCCACGCACACACAGAGAGAATGCTGTGTGAACATGAAGGCGGAGATCAGAGTGATGTCTGTACATGCTCAAGAACAGCAAAGACTGCCAGCAAATCCCCAGAAGTTAGGGGAGAGGCATGGAATAGATTCTTCCTCAAAACCTAGAGAAGGAGCCAATCATGCTGACATTTTGATCTCAGACCTCCAGTTTCTTGAAACACAAGAAAGCACATTTTTGTTGTTTAAGCCGCTTAGTTTATGGTACTTTGTTACAATAGCCTTAGCAAACTAAGTATTTGTCAAAATTATAAATGCAATCTCACTTTATCCGATGGATAGATCTGCAATCATACACACACACACACACACACACACACACACACACACATTAAAGCATAGTTTGTAATAGCAAAGGAATTGAAATAAATATTATTTCATTTACAGGGGAAAGGTTAAATAAACTATGGTATATCCTCAAAGGGGAATACTATGCAGCTATTAAAAGAAAGAAAGAAAGGAAGAAAAGAAAAAGGAAAAGAAAGGGGAGGAAGGAAGGAAATCAGCTTTCTCACTCAGGATACAGAAAGATGAAAGATCTCCATGGTATACTGTTAACTAACAGAAGCAGCAGGGTGCAGAAAAATGTACAGAGTACACTGCTATTTGTGTAAGGAAGAGAGAGAGAAAAGGAACATGTGCGTACACTCCTATGTATTTGATTCTATTTGCATAAATTAACACTGATGGCAGTGGTTTCCAAATTTGTCTGCATCTTGGACACACTTGAGGAGTTTCAAAACATCATAACCCCAGAGATGACCATTTAATTGGTATAAGGTATCACCTGGGCTTTGGAATTTTTAAAAAATCCCCAGGTGATTCCAATGGCAGACAAATTTGGGAACCACTAGTCTAAGAATACAAAAGGTATTAGTAGAGTAGCTCTTTGTGCCTGGTGGGAGGGGGCAGAGTGGATGGGGGTAGGAGTGGAAGCCAGACGTTTCACTATCAGCTTTTTAATATGGTTTTGGTTTTTGAACCATGTGAATGTGTTAACTATTCAGAAAGTTTAATTAAATAGTTAAGTTTATTTAAAAAAAAAACAAACAGTTGCTTCCACAATACTTATTTTTATGACATGGCTCTTATCCAGGATGAAGAACTGCCATTATCCACAGAGTCAAAACAAGTTCGTAATTATACCTTGAAAAAAAAATCCAGACTTTCAAGCTTTCTCTATTTTGGCCACAAGCTATCACCCTTACTTAAGTGTAGTTAATGAGAGGATTTCGCTGCATTACCTGTCTTTATATACCCAGCAAGAGAGTTTATCACGTGGTGTGGGTGGTTGTCCTTCAAAACTGGTGATTTTTTCCCAAACGTAGGTTCCATCTCTTGTTCGCAAATTAACAAAATAAAGCTTTTAAAAGAGGAGAACACCATTAGCAGACAGGGCATTTAAAACTTAAGTCTGTGTCTGAGGGAATATGTGATCCAAGAATTAATACTACTACTCTTTCCTCTTTAAAAGGTAAAATTTTTCATTGTAAAGTTAATAAAAATGAGACTGTGTTTTAGAAGCAAAAATGACATATGAGACATCCTGAAATGGATCCTGTCCCATCATGCTCTGCCCTATAGACATCAACTAAGCATGGAGCTAACTCTGAAGCAGAAAGACGTGGAAGAAGAGAAGAACACAATGGCTGCATTTTCGATCTATTTTTAAAACCTTGTAAGCTCAAGATTTTCTACTTTTATCTTCTTTTTTAAATATTTGTAAACTTGTAAGATTAAGTGATACACTAAATATTACATTTTGCTGCATTCCTGAATTGAAAGAAAGTATTACTCGATTGCTGTATCCTTTGTCATCATATCCTCCAAAAACGTACAGCTTTCCATTAATGCAAGCACCACAACTTCCTGACATGGAGGTAGGGAGTTCTCCTTCCATGAGGTGCATGGTCCTGCAGCAAGAATAACATGGAATTCCATGACTTTCCAGAAAGGCAAATTAAAATTCCCTTTGAACTCCATGAGTACTCTTTCAGTGAAGATTGTCAGTGACAATTACAATTGAAATGCCATGGTAGGCAATACTGTAAAAACTCTAAGATCCATGGTAAAGATTTTTCAACCTATTGGAAAAAAAATCACAGAATCTTGACGTATCACTAGAATTGGGAATTAATTGGTAGAACAAAGCAAAGTCTTCTGGGACAGGCTTAGCCTTGAAAGGAATGGCAAACGACAAAGAGCAAAGAGAGGAAGGGAGCAGGGAAAAGAAAGAGCCAGCAAGAATAAAGCATTCAAAGAAAAGGAAAGGGAGACAATAAATGTTACAGTATGTTCTAAGTTTGGTCTTAAATTCCCTGTAGTCTATGAAAATATTTAAAACAGATATTAAGACTGGACATTTTGCAATTTAAAATTACTTACCACAACCCACTATCAATATCATAGGTCCAAATTTCATCATTAGGCAAATATACTTCATTGTCTTCAATAGACTAAAAACAGAATACATAAAATTATGTTTATCAATTACACAGTAACAATTAAATAGTTCCTCAGGATGGGAAAAACTGCGATTAAGATGCTGCAAAATATAAAATCATGAACAGGCTCCAAGATGGGTTTTTCAATTTAAATTAAGATAGATCAAAAAAGAAAGGAAAAAAGACATCTTCTAAGAGAAAGTGGGCAAACAAGAAAGGTTTAGAATACAAAATAACAAGTACATGAGTCTCAAGAAAAAGACTCAGGGCAATCAAACCTTAAAAAAGGGATTCTGAGTTAGGGAATATAGCAAAATAACATTCTGAGCAGAATACTGAAGACTACAAAGTCAGGAAGAAAAGGAATATCAAAAAAGGGCAATATGTTTTGGGTGAAATGAAGGAATAAAGGAAGGAAATTTTTATAAGGTAAATTAAGAGCACTGTATCAGATATCTTGATCTGCTGAGCATATTTTTTGAGTGCCTACTATGTGCAAGGCATAGTGTCAGGTGTTCCTTAAATATAGACTCTAAGGATCAAGACAAATTTAGCTAGTCAAAATGACAACTCAGAATCTGAATAATCTCTAAAGAAGCTGATAACATAAACAGAATAGTACATTCTGACATTTATGATGAAAAGAGAAATAAGAATAGAAAAACAGGGCGCCTGGGTGGCTCAGATGGGTAAGCGTCTGCCTTCGGCTCAGGTCATGATCCCAGGGTCCTGGGATCGAGTCCCGCATTGGGCTCCCTGCTCCTTGGGAGCCTGCTTCTCCCTCTGCTTCTCTCTCTCTCTGTCTGTCATGAATAAATAAATAAAATCTTAAAAAAAAAAAAAGAATAGAAAAACAGTCTTATTTATATTAAGCCTAAAAACTTAGGGATTAAAACAAATCCTTACATAAATCCATCATAATTTATTAGCGTCTATAAAATAATTCAAAAATAGCTAGTTTTAAAAGATAGCAGTTTAAGAATTTCTTAGACTATGTGATGCATACATTATTTACATGCTAAATAGAGTTGGTTAATTTTCTCATTGGTTTGTTAAATTTTAAAAAATATATCTTGAATACCAAGTATCTGACCCCTACCACCATGTCTCTCTCTTCCTCTCTCTAACAGACACACTCACACACACACACACACAGCAGAAAATCATTCTGTTAATACCAAGGAAACTTCCACTCATGTCTGGTTGTGGAAGCCATATTAGATGGATAAGTAAACAAATAATTTTAAGGAGTGTGGTAACTGTATGATTCTAAGGTTTTTTAAAATTTTATTTTATTATGTTATGTTAATCATCTGTATGATTCTAAGGTTTAATGGCATCAGGCTCCAGTAGCCTCATGAACATACTTTTATAACAGAAATATTATGAAAATAGATTCTGTCACTCTTCTCAAGTCCCTTCAATACTTCCCAACTGCTCCCAGTATAGTCTAAAATTCTTATGATTCTGGGGCGCCTGGGTGGCTCAGTTGGTTAAGCGACTGCCTTCGGCTCAGGTCATGATCCCGGAGTCCCGGGATCGAGTCCCGCATCGGGCTTCCTGCTCAGCAGGGAGTCTGCTTCTCCCTCTGACCCTCTTCCCTCTCGTGCTTTCTATCTCTCATTCTCTCTCTCTCTCAAATAAATAAAATCTTTAAAAAAATAAAATAAAATTCTTATGGTTCTGTACTATATGGCACCTGCTATCCTTCCAAAGCTCATCTTGCCTTTCATTCACTGTGCTCTAGTCTTCTTCCAGTTCCTAAATTTCTGCCAGTTCCTTGCTGGCAACAGGGCCTTTACCTGTGCTCTTCTCTCTTCTTGGCATGCTCTCCCAGAATTTGCCTGTTTAACTACTCATTCTTTGGAAATCAGTTTAAATGTTGCTTCTCTAGTCTCCCAGAAAAAGGGTAAGGGATTTAAGGTCCCTTTTAAATGCTCTCCTACTGTACTGTACTTTCCCTCCCAAGTCTTTGTCTGTATCACATCCACCCACTACCACCAACCCATAAGCTTCGTGAATACATGGGTCATGTTTATCTTGTTATAATTCTGTTCCCAGAGCCCAGCACAGTACCCGCACAAAAAAGGCAAATGTACTGTTTGTTGATTGATTGAGTGAACGGATACATGAATAATACTTGTTAAATTGACAAGAGACTCATCTCAGCCTGATTTAAAAAAAAAAAACTCTTTCACTAATCTTTAAATGGGGTAGTACAAAACCACAAATGAATCAAAGAATTGAAAAATGTGGACTTGTTCCTTCTTGTTTTCTGAGAAATTTCATTCTTAAATTATCCCCTCTTTTCTATATCATGTTTTCCTTCTCTACTAGATCATTCCTATAGATATCCAAATGTGCCTTAATGTCACTCACCTTTAAAACAAACAAACCCTCCCTTAACTCCTTCTCCTATTTCTTGGCTCCCTTCACAACAAAACTTCCACACTAACTAGAGTCAATGTCTCCACTGCCTCACCTGTCATTTTCTCATCAATCCAGATTAACCTGGCTTCTGAGCCCATCATTCCACTAAAACTGTTCTGTCAAGATGACCCTAAAAAAGAAAATTAGTTAACTGATTTATCTGGAAATATGGCCCAGAGAGATGGAACATATAAAAAAAGAAGTTAAGAGACACAGAGAAAGAGAAGAACTTAGTCTAATCAGGATTTCATCAGCATGTAATAGAGAGAATGAGGAAGAGGCAATATTTTGAAGAGACAAAGGGTGAGAATTTTGCAAAACTGTTGAACATCATCAATCCTTGAGATCTAGGAAGTCCTAACAAGTTTCAAGCATAAATAAATAGAAAACCATACCAAGACACATCACAGTAAAACAACAGAACATCAAAGAAAAATATATATTCTTAAAAACTACCAGATTAAAATCAAATCACCTTTGAACAAATGGCAACTAATGACTGAATTCCCATTAGCAACAATCAAGACTAAGTACTAGCCAATGTGTTGAATGAAACTGTCACCCTATAATTCTATTACCCAGTAAAAATATATATTTGAGGGGCGCCTGGATGGTTCAGTCAGTTAAGCTTCTGCCATTGGCTCAGGTCATGGTCCCAGGGTCCCGTATTGGGCTCCCTGCTCAGCGGGGAGTCTGCTTCTCCCTCTCCCTCTGCTGCTCCCCCTGCTTGTGCTCTCTACCTCTGTCAAATAAATAAATAAAATCTTAAAATATATACATATATACATATTTAAAGAACCAAGGTAAAATAAAGAACTTTTCAAACAAAAGTTGAGACAGTTGGCCAATCATCAACCCTCACTTACAATATTCAATTGTAATAGTTGTGCTATTTCAGACAAAAGAAAAATGATCTACAATTAAAGATCTGAAATGTGATAAGAAACAATATGACAAGAAATTAGTAAATGTGTGGGTAAATTTAAACACATAAAAAGGGCTAAACTTTTTTTTTTTTTGATGCTTAATTTCAGGGGAGGGAAGCAGGATAGGACCACCTAGGGAAAGGTGTGACTGGACTTTAAACTTTCTAAAGTACTTGAACTCTCTGGGAAGAAGGAAAACTATTCACTTTGAACTTTGTGAAGTATTCATGTTGAAATAGAGTAGCTACTACATGGTTAGAAATAAATCATAAGTTCTACACAAAGACAAAAAAAATGGAAAGAGAACAGAAAACTCCTTAAACAATCCTTGAAATGAGAAAGTTAAGAAGCAGGAGGAAGAGAAACAGAGAGAGGCAAATATAAAACAGATTTGGGGATGCCTGGATGGCTCAGTCAGTTAAGCCACTGACTCTTGATTTCAGCTCAGGTCAGTATCTCAGGGTGGTGAAATGGAGCCTACTTAAGATTCTCTCTCGCCCTCTGCCCCTCCCCGCCACCCCTGCTCTCCCTCTCTCTCTCTCTCAAAACAAAACAAAACTACATCTGGTGAAAATAGTATATCAGAATCACTTTAAGTATAAATAGGCTAAATAAACTCTTCAGATAAAATATACAGAGTGTCAGACTAGACAGAAACAAGATCCAGCTATTTTCAGGTTATAACACACACATTTAAAATATATACAGAGTTTCCATCAGAAGATAGAAAAAGGTATACCATGCAAATATTAACCAAAAGAACACTGGTGTAGATGTATTGAGATAACAGATTTTAAGGCAATATTACTACACATAGAGAGGATCATTACAAAATAATAAAATATTCAATTACTCAGAATAATTCTAAAATCATATACACATCAAAAGGTAGCCTAAAATACATTAAAGTAAAAACAGACAAGACCACGGGGAGAAACTAACAAATCTACAGTCAGAGTAGGAGTTTTTAATCCCTGTTGCAATAATTGATAGAACAGGAAATAAAATAATCAAAAAGGATATAGGAGATTTGAACAACACAATCAGCAAGATTGATAAAATAGACATATATAAAACACTTCACCTGATCATTAGAATATATATTCTTTATAAGAACTAAGGTATAGGGGCACCTGGGTGGCTTAGTCACTTAAGCATCTGCCTTCTGCTCAGGTCATAATCCCAGGATCCTGGGATGGAGTCTCACATCAGGCTCCTGAGCAGGGAGCCTGCTTCTCCCTCTCCCTTTGCCCGCCCTTCCCCCATCCTTGCACGTGTGCTCTAATATTAAATAAATAAAATTTTTTTTTAAAAAAGAACTAAGGTATATTTATGAAAACTGATCACAGGCTAGTCCTGAAAGCAAGCCTCAACATATTCCAAAGGACTGGCAACAGATAGACATAACACAATTAAGTTAGAAATTAATAACAGACACCTAACTATAAAAATAACATAGAAATTTAAAATATTTTCCCAAACAACATATGGGTCAAATAAGAAATAATAGTGGAACGTATAAAATATTGGGATTGTAAAATAACAAAATACTGCTTATCAAAATGAGGAAGACAGTTGAAGAGGTATTTGGAAGAAAATGTATAGCCTTACACACTTAAAGAATTGAAAAGTCTCAAAAAGAATGAGTTAAGCATC